GATTAATATATGTGGGGCAATTTTAATTTCCACATACATCTATTTTTATGTGACAAAATAATAAAAGTATGTGACTATAACTATTAATTTTTTTCATAATTAATATTCACAAAAAAAACAAAAAAAAAAAATTGCAAAATAAAATATTCAAAGTTAAAGTGAGGCCTATAATAAACCTTACGAACCTCAACAACCAGAGAGTGGGCTACAAAGAATTCCCCTTGAATATATATATATATATATATGATAATTACTATTATGTTGAACTAGTAATTCATCCGTGCAATATGCATGTTATTTTTTTAAAAAAATATTTGATTGTATAATGTGTGTTATAAAAGAATAATTTAAGTTTAAATTTAAAATTAAAATTAAAGTATGATTTTTATTATTTATTTTGATAATATTTGCACTATCGTTCTATAAAATTGTTACTTGAATATTTATATATATTAAATGTTTTGAAGAAGGATTGTGTCAGTCCCACGTTCAGGACTGTTAATTTCATAGATGCCACAAACAAACGCTTTTGACATCAAACCTTCTAATAAAAGAGCAGACAAAGTCCGCATTAAGGCAGTAATTGCATGTGCACCATATTACCATAGAATCAAAATGGGCAGCTGCTTCTTCTAGCAAATTTTCCTACTAGTGCACATAATAATGACGATCATTTATAAAAACTTTCTTCGATATGTCTGCTTAATTATTTGCCTTCATAATGAAAGCACGGAACCAACTTAAGAGATTGACCTCAGATGTTAATGTCAGTTAAAATATTATGCTAAATATTCTATCATTTACATCCTGCAAAAACTTCCTTTGAACGGTTTCCATATCATAATATGAAGACAAGAAAGTATAAATTGAAAACTTATATTCAATTAATATTACCCCTCCGTCCCAAAATATTAGCCCCTTTTGGGGAATTTAACTTTTTTTTGTAGTACAATTATTACATTTCAAAAATATTAACTTTCCAAAACTGCCCCTTCGTAGTACAAGTATTACACGTCAAATAATGCTAATGAATTTAAAAGAAGGGTAAAAAAGGAAATTCATGTTATTTTAGTTATTGAATTTTTAAAAGAGACTAATATTTTGAGATAGTGAAAAATAGAATAAGAGACTAATATTTTGGGGCGGAGGGAGTAACAAGAAATAATTACAATTCTTTGAATAAGAGACGTACTGATATCTCCAAAATACCTGAAAAGAAAGCTAGGGAAGATTGGCAAGACCAAACATGAAACAATAGTACAATGAGAATGAGCAGCATCCACAAGATGCCCCCCACAAGAACCAAACGAATAAAAGCCTTCTTCCAAAGAATCTTCAATGGGTAATCTTGGGACAACTTCACTGGAGAAAAGAACCCACCTTCAGCATCTGCATCCACCACCCACAAAATTTTACCCACATTTTGTGCCCTTCATAGATCCAGGAAATATCTATATATATAATATACAAACATATTGTGTGTGTATAAATGACTTGCCTTTAGTTTGCCGGTGTTGATTATGATGTTCTGATCTCCGGCTTGCCCGTAAAGAAACGGAGCGTTGGAAGTCTCTATCCATATTCAATGACTTTGGCTACTCATAATAACAAACGAAATCCTACAAAAGGAAAGAAATCAAACAATGATCATTTTTTCAATATGAAATCAAACAAGGTTCAATCTTTCTTGAAATAAAAATGTCTTTAAAAAGCAATTAAAATATAGTATTAACAAGATCAGACAATACAGTCCTTACAATCTATTGAAACATACAAATTACCAAGTAGTTCAGTGATGGCTTACATTTAGAAACTCTGCAAACTTTCTTGCAAAGTGTTTAAATGTATTATACATATATATATACACTATAAAGTGTGCAAAGGCACGGCAAGTGCAATGAAATCTCAGGAATAAGAATACTACAAACAAACCACCACCCGTGTGAAGCAATGATATTAACCCATTTGTTTCACATTTTGACAATGAATACTATGTAAAACTTTGGAGAGTAACGCTCCGTTTGTTTGGGCAGATTTTTTTTGTCTTTTCATATTTTATGGCATTTAGTACAATAGAAAACGAAAGTTAACGGAAAACATTTTTCATAGTCAACCAAAAATAAGACCAAGACCATTTAGGAGAGAAATATTTTCCACTCTTAAAGAGTTGGAAACAAAACAAAAATCTTACCAACCACATTACCACCGCCACTCTCACCTCCACCACCACACAGCCTATCACCACGGCCACCATCAACGTTGCCATCACCGCCACCGCCACCCTTCACCTTCATCCCACCACCACCAAACATATCTAGAAAAAGCTTTCTGGTGAAAATATTTTCCATTAGAAAATGTTTTTCGCGCAAACAAACTATGCGTAAGTAAAACATTTTGGTGCCCGTTGCATCAATGGCGTCTTCAAATGCAACGAATTTCCACAACAAAAAAATTCAACACAGATCCATCAAATTGTAATCGTAATCAGTTTTTAAGTTTCAATTTCTTTGAAATTGTTAAATTACAGAACCAAACACACAACGCGAATTAAGCTGCAAACAAACAAACAGAGGGAAAAAAAAAATGAAGAGATAATCTGAAAGAGAAAACATATACAGATCTCGTACCTGACAAACGGTGATTTGTGGAATTCAATTCAGCTCCGTTCTCAAACAAGAAAGCAACAGCCTATAATCGACACAGAAACACATACACGAAAAATTACACGCATATATGTATATATACATGATAATGTATCAATTAATATATATAAGAATGAGAATTTGAAGCAATCTGTTCTTGAATCTGATGATTGAGAGAGAAAGTGGAAGACAGGTAAACGAAAGCGAACAGTCCAATTCCAAGAAACCAAAATGTGGTTTTCACGGTTGAAACGACGTCGTGGACATCGCTGTGAGTGGGGAGCATCTATTTACAAACATCAAATACACCCATTGCACATCTTTCTCACTACACACGCCAAAAAATTAATTCCTAATTAGTTTAGAGTGCTACTATTAGTACCTATCAAAATTCTTTAAACCCCTCATTTCTTTAGACCCCAACCCTAAACTCTAAATTTTAATAATATTTTTTTGGACACCCCACTTATTACCAAATCTACCCATATTCATAATATTTTTCACAATGAAATGCACACCCGCCTAATTTTTCATCCCTCTCCTTCCCTGACTCACTCAATCTTCAGAGTTTGGAGCTTTGGTCTAGTATAGAATTCTTGGACCCCAACCCTCCATCACTCTCATCGCCATCTCAACCATCAACAGAGCATTCCGACGACTCTCATCTTCTCTGAACGCTCTCTGTATCGCCGAATCAGTAACCTCTCTCATTCTCTTATCATCATCTTCTTCGTTACTTTTTGTATCTTCGTCATCGCTGAGATCGATCAAAGATACTCCAATTTCTACGGGATTTGCATAACCATTTGCAAGATAAGGAAAAACAGAATCATCGTCTAAATCGCCATCAGAATTCTGAATGTAGCACAAAACAATTTGTTCACCACTGTGTAGCCGAAAAAATGTATTTTGTTCAGAACTTTTTTGTCGAACAATAATGATCATGTCAGCACTGTATGTCCGAACAAAATTCGTTCATCACTGTGTAACTTGAATCCATTCCAATTCACAACTTAAAATAACATGAATTAAATCCATTCAAAACACATAACTTAAATCCATTCAAATTCACTCTTTTCCATTCTAAGTTAGTTTGACAAAGAAAATTACATAACTGACTATCTGCATTAATGTTCGGAACCTATGTATTGAACGAAAGGATTATGTTTAGTACTGTATTACCGAACATAATTCTAACAGTCAGCAAACCAGTACTGAATAGCTCGAACGAAACAAAAACTACTGAAAACGACCGAGAATGTTAATACAAGACAGATAAACTTATCAATGGAACACCGCTCTCACTAGAATTGTTGTCATCGTCCTCCATTGCTTTACACAGTGAAATAAGTGATGAAGTATACGTTATACTTGAAGCAAAACTTTCAAGTTCAATAGCATTGATGATGGTGATGAAGATGACACATTCAGGATTTAAGATTATTTGAAAAATAATATATTTAGGGTTTATGTTAGTTGGTTATGAAAAGTAATAGGTTTAGAGTTTACAAACATGGAATACATATAGTTGGAGTTGGAAGTGGAGGTGGGGGTGGGGGTGGGTGTCCAATATTATAGAGTATTAGTTCTTATTGATAGGTGAGTGTTCCATTTAATAATGTCTTTTAATGTAATTTTACTTTAGGATATAATTGTAATAAAAAAAAATTATAAAATGGGGGGTCCAAAAAATTTTGCCAAGTGCTCATAACAGCACTCTTAGTTTACTCACTGCACATACGGTTCATTCCACATCTACCCTCATACACACACACACACCCCTGACCCCAAACCCAGCTCTCCCAACGGTGCAAATACACCCATTGAAACTGAAGCTACATCTTCAATCCTGAAGCTTACCGTGTTGAAGACATTACCCCATAGCTGAAGTTTACCTTGTTGAAGACATTACCCCATAGTAGAAGCTTCACACAACTTTCATCCCCAAAGCTGCATCCATCAAGACATCCCATTGAAGCATTCCAACACATTTTCAATCCTTATTTTGTATTTAGGTGAGTTTACTTTTCAATCCCCATTCCTATTTAATTTGCAATGTAGAGTTTTGTTTTTATCATTTTGAAAACAAACGAAGGCCCAGGAATGTAAACAAATTGTTCGAAATTGGTTTTCTGAAATTAAGGAATTTGTTCGGAAGTAGGAATCCAGTAGGTTTCTGAATTTTTTTTATTATTTCGGCAGTCAACTTTTGAATATTTTAAATTCGGACAACAATCAACTTTCGAAATCAATTTTTTGTTTCGGTTTTCAACTTCCGAACATTTTTTTTTCTCCCTTCTTTTGTATATTCTTTTTACATTTGTATAGTCATCAAACATATTAATTTTTGCAGATAATATGGATTTTGAATATCAACAATGTGTCCCACCTACTGCTTCAAATAGACGACGTCGTGAATTGGATGTTGACCATGAACGGGGACGGTGGCGTGGGCGAGAACGAGGTCGAGGTCGTGGTCGAGATCGTGATCCAGTTTCGGTAGAATATGATATCCCTAGTGCCAGTCAAAGTCGAAGTCGAAGCCAAAGATGAGTTCAAGGTGATGATATGCCTGACATTGCTATGGATGACGTCTCTTTACCCGATTCTCTTACTGTTCAGGAAGAGTATCTTACTCATGCTTTTCCAGGTGGACTGAATGATCCATCAATACTGCGGAGTTTCAATAATCATGTCGTTGCAGCTATTTGGCACAAGGAGGTAAACATTCCTGAGTATAAGTGAAATTCATTTGTATATGATTTTTTTTTTTTTTTTTGTGTATGTGTGTGTTGTATGGTAGTTTCTAATGAGATATCATTTGTGTTATAGGAACGAGAGCCCCTAAAGTGTCATAATCACTCTTCGAAGATCCTTGCATGGCCATGGTGGTCAGTAGACAAAAACACCAAATTCAAAGCCATTATTGAGCAGTCTGGGCTGTCACAATTAGCTCGGTGCACTTATCGGTTCGTCAACAAGCTTCTAACCTCCAGTTTTGTTGAGAGATGGCAACCTGAGACGAACACATTTCACATGACAATTGGTGAGATGACATTGACTTTGGATGATGTTGGCAATATTCTTAGCCTTCCCATTGTAGGCAGATTAGTCAGCGTACCAAATGTGACGGATTATCATGGAGTTACACTACTAGTTTTTGGCTTGGGGATTACTGAACTTGTAGCACATGAAGAGATTTCTACTACTGGTGTTAATTCAGTCAGGCTTGAGTGGTTACGAAGTCAGTTTGTTGGTATCACAGATTCAGACCCCAATGAGGTTATACAGTGCGCTGCTAGAGCTTATTTGTTGTTTCTGTTGGGATGTACACTTTCCAGTGACAAGAGTGGCGGCAAGGTTCCTGTTGTTTACCTTAGCTTATTAATGGATTTGGGATCCATTCGTACTTATGACTGGGGTGCTGCTGCATTAGTATTTTTATACAGGCAATTGGGGTATGCTAGCCGGTCCGGGGTTAAGCAGATGGGTGGTTATATGACTCTTTTGGAGGCATGGATTTATGAGCACTTCCGAGCATTTCGACCTCACCAGAACATGGGCTAAAATGAAGGCATGCCACACGTGTAACATTGGGCATCTAGGAGAAAGGCAGGTTCCTCCATTGATCATTTGAAATCTTTTCTAGCCGGGCTTGACAGTTTGGTAGCGACTGATGTAAGTTTACTCGTCCTGAGATAATTTTAACACTTTCCATTTATCTTACCCTTTATATACTTTAATTTAAAAACACTTTACGTTTACAGGTTATTTAGGATCCATACCACAGTTACAGAGACCGGCATCCATGTAACCCGGTTACGTTCTACCGTGGATGCTTAAAGTGCTTAGACGCGGTCAAACCCTATCATCCAGATAGAGTTCTGAGGCAGTATGGCAGGGTTCAAACCATCCCAGATGCACTGCTAGCTCCCAGTCGTAGTGCTCGAGACAACATATCTGCACGATATACAGTCATGTATAGATACTTGGATAAGATTTGAGAGGCTTAGGATAACCACATGTTATCTGAGCAACGGAGGAGCATACCAGTTCGTCAACCTTAGGAATGTATACCGGGTTACATGGATTGATATAAGAATATCACGCACCTTTATGTTGAGCACACTGATGAACCGCGTGTCCATGACCATCAGGATTTCAGCCAACATGCCGATGTAATATATTATCCTCTTTTATGCATTTGTAACTTACTTTTTATTTTCTAATATGTTCCTTAAAATGTGATATTCCTTTCAAATGCAGCGTATTGCACGTGTACTACAGATTTCACATTCTATTATTGACGTTGGTTATGAGGAGGGGATTTGACATCCTCGTTGACTTTACCAGGCTATCGAGAGTATAATGCATGTCCTTGAAGGTTAACACATTGACAAAGCTGGACCTAGTTCTGCTGGACCTAGTTATACTGGAGGTCACTTTTCATCTCCGACATTGACATATAGTCGTAGGCATACAGCTGATTCGTGACATGTTATTTGTTAGTTGATGAATTTTTAGTGGTGTTTTTTGTAAGCCGATATTGTTGTAATGGTAACAGTGGTTAATATTTTCTTATTAAATGATATTGTTGTAATAATATTTTATTATTAGAATGGAATGGTAACAATGGTCGTTGATTTTGTAAATGATATTTTCTTATTACAATAGAATGGTAACATCAACATCAAAAACACATCCATTAATTTCTTCCATAATTCTAACATTGTCAAATGCATACACGTGTCATGCGACATCAACAACATCAAATGTCTCTCAAGTAGCTACATTATCATGAATAATGTCCTTGAAATGTTGAATGCGATGCACATATGCATCATTCCAGTCGACAGCGCAAGGGTGATGGTATTTTCGCCAATTAGTGGCTATAGGAGGAACTGGATGACCTGACTACAACAAAACCTGCACCAAATATCAATTGAGTTAGTGGTCATACCTCATAACTTCTTGTACATGCACAAATTGATAAGTTTCTATTATACTTGGACGAAATGATTTCCGTTGACAAACCCAATGGCAATCTCACGTCTATCAAGTTAAGGTACTAGCACTGTTCTAAGAGGTAAGATAAGACATTGCTGTAATGACAAGTGATATAACACAAGATTGTAGCACGATGCAACAAGATGCCCCATATCTGGCATAGTCATCCAATGTGAGTATCCGAGACTGTCTTCAAAGTATGACAATATGCTTGTCAATTCTTCAAACCTTTCGTAGGACCCATAAAGTGAAATGTATTCCTCTTTCTGTGTGTGCAGCTCACCCAACAAATCGCGCCTAACCTGAGCCCAATCATCTTCTATATGACCAATTGAAGCAGCTATAGCCCTGAAACCACAATTCCCATCTGCAGCTACATCCTTGACAAACTTAATGTATGTTTTCAACCCAGAAAGGAAAACATCAACATATGCACCAGGTTTCACTGTTCTAGTAATGTATACTTTCCCTTTCGCATTCACCTTCTCATTTCCCTTAACAGGTCACTTTTTCTTAGTTTCCAGAGTACAAGCTAATGTAGTGATTTGAGTGTCCCTAGGTGAGAAGGAATCATGTCCAGATTGCACCAACTCAAATGCACACAGGTCACGACGGGTAAAAACATTAATCTTCTTATGATCCCGAGGACGTGTTTTGGGCTTCACCTCCGGCTCAACAAAAAAAGTGCTTCCCGGATATACAATCTCTTTCAACTTCTTCAAAAGCTCTAACCGCATGGTTCTATCACTTTCATTAAACTTGTTCACAAACAACTCTACTTGTGCATGACAACTCATCTCCGTTTCCTCTTCTTTCTTGCATATGGAGATATGAAGTTGCCTCCACTGTGAGTGTATGGTAGCAAGTGGTATAGGACGATATTGTCTGATATAGTCAGCAATCTCATAGGCACAAGGTAAACCATAAGTGTGGTGAAGGACGCATCCACAAGCTTCCACGTGAATACTAATGGAATTGGCTCTCTTACTCTCTACAAGCAAATACTCCAATGTAGAAATAGACACATTACCCCGTAGCTCCCTGAATTGAGAAGGTTTAAGTTGATGTTGCACAACAGTTAGACTTTTCTCAAATGAAGCCTTGATATCAGTGTGTTGCAACTCAAGCAGACTGTGTATTTTCTCAAATGATGCCTGAAATAAGACCTGACATGAACCCAATTGTCTTTTAAGTTTTGCATGTGCACTCTCAGCCTTGTTCAATTCAATGTAAGTCAAATTAAAATCAAGTACATGGCACTTATTAATAACATATTGAACAAAAGTAATCTTACCGGTTCGTTGTAACATTGCCACAATGCATACACGTGTCTATCCATGCCGTCACAAATTTCCACTTGTAAGGAACCAACCAAGTATCCATAACGTATTTGATTGCATCAGGATAACTACTGAATTCCTTAAGTAATGATTTAAGATGTTCATCGCATTGAATTTCAGAAGATGAATACACTAAAGAGTTCTACTCATGGTTGAACTTCTTCCATTTCTGCTGTGTCTCAAACATTTTCTTGCATTTGGTCAATACATTCTTACTAATATACCAATGACATAATAAATGTCTGTCACTCGGGAATATCTTATGTATGGCATTCATCAAGGCTAGCTCTCTGTCAGTAACAATAATTGTTAGCACAACAAAACCATCCATGACATCACGCAATGTAGCTAACACCTACATAGTTATCGACCCTCTCATACTGTAAGTATGCGAAAGCTACAAAGAAAGTCATTTTAGTTGATGTCACTCCCACAATTTCAAGAAGAAAAAGACGATATCTGTTGGTTTTATATGTTCAATCCATAATTAATATACGCGGGAAAGATCGAAATAAGTCTAAACTGGTAGGATGTGCCCAAAACAAGTCTGTCACAGTCATCGTGGACCCTTCAGACCGATGGCGCTCAATGTAATTATACTTGGCCAATTCACCCAATAAGTGTTGCATCTGTGATCTTCCAGTTCTCTGTACCACCCTGTTTCGATGGCGTACATTGTAAATGGTTTTAAGTGTGCTTACATTGAGGGTATCTCGTTGTTTCAAGGTTACTAGGATTTCTTTTGGCCGAACCATGTTTTTTAACATATCCATTAACAATGCTTTCTCATCCTTTGATAGCCTCTTCGCATATGAATGTCCCTCAAGGTGCTCTGCTGGTGGATGGTTATGCAACCCGCATACTATAGTCAATGTCCATTCATCATGTGTGGTAAACCTGTGAGCCCTCATATCAAAAGGACAACCACACTTCTTCGTACCGGTTATTCTTGATGTATTGTTGCCATCATGTTTTAACTTCTTTGTCGCTTTATATTGGCCGCTTATTTCACAAGCAAGATACATCCTGGGTGTTTTTTTCCCTCCACCATAGTCTGATGTTTTGATTACAATAACCAAACCATTTCTCTTTCCAACTTCACGTACCTAGTTGAGCAATTCATCCTTACTTTTGAATACCTACAAAGTCAAATAAATATTATCAAACATTTATATTTGTTGAGCAATTCGAAACATAATCATTATAATTTTGTAGAGTGAACCTGTTCAGTTGTGAATTGAGTAGTGTAATCCAATACAAAATCCGCGCAAACTTGACTTCCTTTAGTTGACACATATTCCTACATGTTTTGAACAACATTACAATTTTTTAATGGCATTATAAAGATTAATTTGCAATTCGAAACTGTAAATTTGGTATGCAATTTGCAAATTTGGAATATAAAATGAGAAATATTTTTTTTTTACTTCATTCGGAAGTAGTTGTCCGAATTCATTTTAAAATTTCGGAAGTTGAATGTTGTAAAAGTTAACTTATTTCGGACAACAACTTCCGAAATTAAATACTTTTTTCGGACAACAACTTTCGAAATTAAATACTTTTTTTGGACAACAACTTCCGAAAATAAATATTTATTTCGGTAGTAGATTTTCGAACAAAATAATATAATTCGACTCTGGTTATCCGAACGACGCTGGAAAAAAAGAAGAAGAGAAACTCACATTTCCTTCGCTATGTTTCTCACAAACATTTATTTGTTGCTTTTCAGAAGACAAATCCTCCATAACAATGATGAATGAGGAAGAAGCTACGAATGAGGAAGGTTGATGCTTTCCCTTCTAGCTTAATGTATGATGAATCAGTGCATTGAGAAGCTACGAACTTGGAGCTTAATGGAACAAGTTACGAACTTGGAAGAAGCTACGAATGAGTGAATGAGTGCTTTCACTTGTAGCTCAATGGAAAAAGCTGAACTTGGAGCTTCAACGTGAAGTCTGGATGGATGCGTGCATTGAGACGTTTTGAATTGGGTAGATGTTTAAAATAGTAATTACACTTAGGGATAAAATTATAATACAAAAAAAATATCATTAAGTGTGTGTATAGAGGGGGTTTGGTGTGTGTAGATAGAAGCTCCCCTGTGAGTGCCGACAATGTAGCCTGGAAATGACAATTATACCCTTACGCTCTGGATAAACTCTCAGAACTGCCCTTCTTTCTTTTTAGAAAAAAAAGTTTTGGTTGGTTTGAGAAGTATGT